CATCTTCCTTTGGTGGAACCATGACTAACTTTGAGGACACTGTTTCACTCATGGCTGTCTCTGGTGGTAGCTGTGTTTTCTGCCGCACTCTGTATTTTGGGGCCCAGAAGTGGATCCATAGGTGTCTTCCCCACCACCACCACCACTTCCACTCCGCCTCTCCTCTCTATCCTTTCAGAGCCCCAGCCCTTCAAAGTTCACGAAGAGGTTCACCTCCCTTCTCCCTTTGATGCCTTGGCCTCTGACCACCCACTCAGTCTTCACATTCCTCAGTGCAGATGGCCCATACACTCCCTTCCCACGATCTTGTCCTCAGCATCTGTGCAGATTGGTGGTTCCATTCCCTTGGAGGCAGTTTGGAAAATGTATGGGGTTTGTTGACTTATTTTCTAATGTAATTGTGCTCCAGCCTTTATATTGAAATTCATCTTGTTTTGTTACCAATGACTTCCCCTTCGCTTACTTTATATTATTTATTAAGGTATTCTGTTAATTTTTTTCAAAAGAAAACTTAGTAATGTATAATATTGTCTGAATTGTATTTCAGGATAGAAAGGGGATATTAAAATATGCTTGTTATAAAAAGGGAGTGTTTTGTCTGATAGCACGGGGGCAACCGAGGCAGATAATCCACAACTCCTTGCCCTCCCTATTTCTCCAAAGATCTTTTCTTCCGGCCCACCTTAGCCCATAATCAAGTGGATGCCCCATAAGCCAGTAACTATACCACTTCCCAAATCTAGATTTAAACATCCTACCCTCTGTCCATAATCCCCCAATCTTTACAGTTCATTGACTCCAGCCTCATGAGGACCTCCTGGCTTTGATCCATTGCTGTGTCATCCAAAAGGTAGAGAAGACTCAGAGAGAACCTTCTTTGTCCACTTTTCCTTATAAATTTTGTTTCCTCAGTTCCTTTCTCCCTCGCACAGATTCCATGCTCCGATGTGATAACCGCTCCCTTGCAAACTGACATCATTGTTGTCTGCTTGCCCAGAAAAAAAGTTTAAACTTGTTACATACAACCTTCCTCTCAGTCCACACATGCAGTTGAGCAAGCAGTGGAAATTGTAGAAAAAATTACACAACCAACAACTGGACTCTTCAGGGGTTTTTTTTTCTTCTTTTTTAAATTAATTTTATTGGTACATCTTAGGTATACAGTATAATGACATTCATCTTTGGAAATTTGTACCTTTACATAATCTGTCTTGGTTCTTATTTTTTTTTCCCCATTCCCCTGCCTGGACTCTTCAGTTTTATGGCCACTCACAAGGCCACTCAACAAAATCAGATAATTCTACTACATTCTGTAAATGCAGTCTTACTTTCAAAAATAATTATTTCCTCCCTTCTCCACAAATGTTCAACAGATCCCCCCTCATCCCCTCCAATTGGCTAGTGACTTCATGGAAGACAACAATGTGCTTTGATAAGAACTATTGGTTTTCCCACTTAAAAGAGTTATCACACTCTCTACACTTTCTTGAAACATCCTCTTCCAGACTTCTGCATCTCCCCATTTTCTGGTCTTTTCTTTGCTTCCTGGAGTGCTTCTTCACTGCCTCCTTTGCTGGCTATCCCTCCACCAAACCGTTAAACCTCAGAAGCCCAGAGCTCTGTCGTTGGCCAGCTTCTACCCTCAAGGCAATTCAGACGTTCCCAAACTTCAAATTCTACCAGTCTTTGTTTTGTACTATTACAACACAATAAGCAAGACTAGGCAATTTATAAAAAAAAACAGATTTATATCAGTTCCTGAGCTCAGGAAGTTGAGGATCATCTGATGGGGGATGTCTTGCTACATCCTTACTTGACAAAAGGTGGAGAATGTCAAGAGAGGACCAACTCTGTCAAGCTGCCTTATAACAACACATAATCCTATTTATTAGGAAGGAACCCCTGTTATGGTTTAGATCTAGAATATCCCCCAAAGCCTCATGTGTTTGGAAGGTGACTGCATTACAGGGGCATTACAGCTGACTTGAAGTTAGGAGAAGTTGGTCAGAAGAGGTGTGTCATTCAGATTGGGACCTGGAAGGGTGTAGCTCCCTTCTCAGCTCTTCCCTTCACTGTCTGCTTCCTGAATTCCATAATGTGAGCTGCTTTCTTCCACCATGCCCCTCTGCTATGCTGTTTCTTCTTGGGAGCCTGCTGACCATGGACTGAATGTGACCCAAAATAGACCTCTTCTCCTTTAAGTTGTGGGTGTTGGGTATTGTGTCTCACTAATGAGAATGTAATAAGACAGCCCTTGCAGCCTAATCACTTCTTACAGACCTTACTTTTTAGTACTATCTCATTGACAACATCTCAAACTTGAAGAAGACACATTCAAAGCACAGCTCCACCTCCATGCCCAAGAGTTTTATTTTCAGGCCAGCTTTTTTCCTAAGTTTCCAACTCATGTGTTCAACTGCCCTCCTGAACTTCCAGTTCGATTTTCATTGGATATCTTAAATTCACCATGACCAAAACAGAATCACTCTAGTAGGCTGAAAGATGGCCCCCAAAGACATTCAGGTCCTAATCCTTCGCCCATTAATATTACCTTAAATGACTTTACAGGTATGATTACTTTAGGGGTCTAGAAATGGTGTAATTATTATAATTATTCAGTGGGGCCTGCATGCTCTCCCAAGTGTTCTTAGTAGAGAGAAGCAGAGGCAGATCTGAAGGCAGAAGAGTATTAGGGGCTATGACAATAAAAAAAGGAGATTGGAGTGATGCAAGAAAGGGGGAATTGCAGGCAACTTTTGAAGCTGAAAAAGGCAGAAAACAAATTCTCCCTTAAAGTTTCCAAGAAGAACCACCCCTGATGACCCCTTCACTTTATCCCAGTGACTCTGATCTCCAGAACTGTAAGAGAATACATTTGTGTTATTTTAGGTGACTAAATGTGTAGTCATTTGTTACAGCAGCCATAGCCAACTAAAACACTTGCTGCCACCACATCACCCACCCTGGTGCCATCCATATCTCAACAAATGGCACTATTATTGGGTAGCCTCCTTCTAGAAATAGGTTGCTAAATAGGTTCTTTCTGTCTCAAACAAAGACTTGAGCAAGACAAGCAAAAATAGTGACAAAGTTTGAGTGAAGGGTAAGGGAGAAACTGGCTCTGCAGAGTGAAATTGGGCCAAAAAAAGAGAAGAAAAAATAAAAACCAAAATAAAAGTACACCTTTGGAGACACAGGGTGGGCTACTGTGAGGAAAGCCACAGTAGTGAGCTCTTCATGGCATCTGTGTCCTTTCATCCCATCCACACCTCGTAGGTTCTCTCGAGAAGTCTACATACGAGGTCCTGAGAATTATTTAGTATGTATGTCCTGAAATCTGATCATGCCTACTCTCCCAACAGCCTTACCACTCCATGCCTTCCTGCCTCAGCACCCCTATTCATTGAGTTGCTGAACCCAAAAGCTGTAGAGTTTCCCAGAGGTTTCTCTTTGCTCAAACCTCACCCATTAGCAAACTGTCAGCTCTACCTCCACTATGCATGCTGCTACCACAATGTCTCACTTTCTCCTGTGGTACAAGCCCAGTCTAAGACATTGTCATTTCCGATGTCAATTATTGCATGACTTTCTACTTAGTTTTCCTCTCTTCCTTTTTTCTTTTTTCTTTTTCTCAGTTGTAGGGATTGAACCTAGGACCTTTTCACAGAGATACATGCCCGGCCTCTTATTAAACTTTTTAAAAGATTTTTGCCCAGGCTGGGCTCAAATTCGTGATTCTCCTGCCTCTGCCTCCCAGATATGGCTCTATTCCACTATGCCCAGCTTCCCCTCACTATGGTGCCCATCAGAGCCAGAGAAGTTCAGAACTTCCTGAATGGTAAATCAGATTACATCATTTCCCCCTGTTAAAACCCTTCAATGTATTCCCACTGCTCTGAGTATAAAATACAAATTCCTTGCCATGGCCTACATGACCTGGTCATAGATTGGCCTCTGCCTACTTTATCTTCCTCCACTTCCCCACCGTTCCCTGGAAAGGGCATGCTGGCCTTCATTCGGCCCAGCCTCATTCCATTCCCACCTCCTGGCTTTTGCACTTGTATTTCCTATCATTAATGTGCTCTTGCTCTAGATCTTTGCATGGGTGCCTCCTTCCTTCTCATCATTTAAGTCTCAACTTAAACACTGCCTCCTCCAGAGGCCTTTCCCACCAGGCATTCAAAACAAGACCCTCAATGCCAGTAGGCAGTGACTATTTAACTCTACTTTTCTTCCTTACAGCCTTTGGCAGTGTCTGAAATGATTTGGTTATCTTGTCCATGTGTCTATTGTGTGTCAGTCCACTTGAATTAGGCACTCTGAGGGTAACACGCTGCCTGTCTCCATCACTGCTGTGTCACCCTGCCTGGCACATAGTGGGGACACAACTAATATTCAGTTGCCTTGTTGCCTGGTTTGGTTTCCTTCTACTCTACCACTGCCTCCGCCAGTATAATTGCACCAATGTTCTCTTTCCCAAGGGTGTTTGTATTTCAGTAGCATTGGGCTATCTGTGCAAAGACCTAGCCAGTAGAATTTCAGACATCATTTGGCGGGTGTGGAATGAGCACAGGATTTCCTTTGTGTTGTTTTTGTCAGACAATTCATTCAACATCTGCTAAATAGTGGGTGCCATGGATACATAATACAGAGAAGAAAAGATATTTATATTATGCCTCAGTGGAATGATTTGGATTGTGTCAAGTCAAGACGAGGGTGACTGGAGTAGAAGAGGTAGACAAAAGCATTGTGTGTAGGTGCCCAGTATTTCATGGGTGTGGCATAGGAGGCCCCTCCACTTTCTCTACCCTGAAGACTTGTTGAGGCCAGGAATAGAGGGATGGAGATCAAGTGACTCAGAACTGGCAGGTAGATTTGAAGAGCACAAATTAAACCAATAATTATCTATTTGTAAACAAAGGGAGACCATCACTTTCTCCTGACAATGACTTGTCTTCTCCTGCTTAGCCTTTGTTTTTTTCCTCTCCCCACTACCTCAGGTCTCATCATCCACGAAGGACCTTCTGTGTACCGAATCTTTAAACGGTGGCAGGCTGTCAACCAGCAGTGGAAAGTGCTGAACTATGACAAGGAAAAAGACCTGGAAGAGCAGAAGTCAGGAGGCAGGACAAACCTCCGGATCTCCTCGTCCACCCAGGCCAACATCCCCTCCTCAGAAGAGGAGGCAGCTGGTACCCCTGTCCCCGAGGAAGGCCCCACTCGGGCTGCCAGCCACCCCTCAGACCCTCTGTCCCATCACCACTGTGCTTACACCATCCTGCACATCCTGAGTCACTTGAGACCCCAAGAACAGCGGAGCCCCCAGGGCAGCAGCCGGGAGCTCGTCATGAGAGTCACCACTGTCTGACAGGAAAGACCTGGAGAAAGGTGGAGAGAGGCTGGCCCAGGAGGGGCCAGGAAGCAGGTGTGGGGAGACAAGGCAGCACCTGAGCCAGAGCAGACAGCAAGCACACAGTGGTGGGCCTCAAAGGGTTCCAGGGCAGGGTGGAGCTGGAGGAGGCTGGCATCTGGAGCCATTGATGATTTCCAATCAGTCAGTTCCATTCTCTAATGGCAGCAGTGACAAAAACCAGTACAAACTCAGCAACAATGGGCCAGACAGACGGAACCTAACCTAGCAAAACAACCACCCAGGTGCACCCGTGTAATCAAGACTCCCAAGAGGAAAGGCTACTGGAGGGAAAGCTGGTACAATGGGTGGTGGTGTCCGTGGGTGCATGGGCAGTGGAGAGAAAAGAAGAAATCAAGAGGAATGCATTTGGAGCCTGCTCCTTTCAAACTTGAGTCTGTTTTTCTTTCTCCCTGGGTGATGTTCATGGGCAGTCAAGGGAGGGTTGAACCCACTTGGGCTGGTAGGGAAGACACACAGGCTTTGAGGCTCCTGGGGCTCTGAGCCTCTGGGCCCAACTGAGAGGCAGAATTCAGTGACTCAAATGGCTTTAGGGATCATGGGGCAGTTGATGCTGGGAAGGAGGTGTTGGTGTAAGCAACCAGAGGAAGGGTGTGTTTCCTCCCATCAGAACTTCCCCAGCTAGAATTCCCAATTTCAGGTGGGCTCAAAGAAGCCGTGGTTTTGGAGATGGGTGTCTTTCTGTGCCCTTGTTACTTTATTTTACGGTGATTTGGCTCAGAAGATGTTTACAGGACACACACACACAAACACACACACACACCTAGAGAAAAGTACGGCTTTCCAGTGGCCGTTTATCTCAAGCACAGTGCTGCTTCTGTGGCCTCAGCCTTCAAAGTTGTCAGTCCAGGAGTAACTTTCCCAACTACTCAGACCCACCCATGGCCAGGACAGCTCAGTGCCATACCCCTCCAGCCTTGGCACAGGCACAGACTCAGACCCCCACACAGGGCCCCTCCACTGCCAACTCCCGGGTCTCCCAGGAGGACTGCTGCAGTGTTGGCAGAAGTTGGCTAATGATCCCCAAGGAGTGGAGTGGAGACCAGTCTAAGTATTCCTTGCTGCTTGGGACCCTTCAAAGAAGCAGTTTGGTCCCTGCCTAGTGCACACAGGCAGGGCCAGGGGCCCTGGCAGGGAGCACTGTCTATGGAGCCCACCTGCTTGTTTCTGAAACGCTGCCAGGGAAGGCCCCTGGGTGGTCACTTGCAGTTTCTTGTTGTCATTGCACAGTGGCCATGTCATTCTTGGGTATTAAAGGAACACTGTCAAGTACTTTTTTAAACTAGTTTTTAGGGTTTTTTAAAAACTCTCTGTTGTTTGTAATATTCTCTTAAAAGCTTGAAAATAAAATTTCTTTCCCTACCAGTAGTGTCTCCTTCCATACTGGAGTTTTTCCATCCTCCTTCCTTTTCTCTTGTCCTTTTTCCCTGTTCTGTCTCCTCCATCCCAGAGTATCCTTCTTAGCCAGAAATCGAGAGCATTTTCATTTCCCTTTGAGGGTATAGATGGTGTAGGGCAGGCAGGGAAGTTCACATTGTGTGCGCATCTGTGTACAGGGCATTTCACAGAAGCTGAAAGAGCCATAGGGAGAGGGATGGAATCTCATTCCCTGGCCACTTTCCTTTGAGTATCAGAGAACAGCCCCAAGTCAGAGCCACAGGGGAGAGCTTGGACAAGTCACGGGGAGCAGACAGATCTCTCCTTTCTTCACCTTGACCTGGCCCTCCTTCCTTGGGGCTAACACATGGTCAGGCAATACCATCAGCAGGATGTGCACAGGCTTTGCACTGTGGTCTAGGAACAGACCATTCAGTCTAATTAAATATCTATAGAAACTCTGGTTGTGTTCAGGGACTGTCTAGTTCAAGAAAAAAAAGTAATGGAATGCATCGAAATATGCACATCATCAGATCTATAGTGACCATCATGGCATTTTCATTGGTGATTCCTAGGACACTTCAGACTCTGTGGTCATTCAGGACCATTATCCTGAACATATTGTACTGAAGAAGAGATAATGAATGAAAAATGTAGGATGCTAGAGTTTGTGGGATTGGACAATACAGGTCCAAGAGAGCAAGATGTATCTCTCTTGTTTACTGATATATAATCAGAACTATGTCAGTGTCTGACACACAGTAGGTGCTCAGTAAATATTTTTGAATGAATAAGACACTCCCAGAAGACTACAGGAAAACGTTCCTTCAGCATAAAGGAGGCATGCCTCCTCTTCTTCCAATTTACACTCTGGCTATTGAGGACAATCACAGAGCAAAAATGAAAGGTCAACTTCTCTACCCAACAGGATGGTCGATTCCTTGTGCCTTGGGAAATAGAGCTTGTGGGTACCATGCATGTGACAAGATACTAGCTGACACCTAAAATTCTTACTATGTGCAAAGCACCAAATTAAATGCTTAATACGTATCAACTCACTTAATATTCCAACAACCCGATAAAACAGAAACCATGATTATCTTCCTTTTACAGACATGGGCACTGGGGCAGAAGATAACCTGCTCATGATAACTGGCCACAATTCCTTCTTAGGCCGTCTGACTTTGATCGTAACCACCACATTTCCTCAGGACATTGCACCAATTTAAAGAAAACCTGTGTTAGGGCCAATTCAGGGAGGTCCTGTGATAGAAGTTATATGAAAGTTTTAAAGTTTGGAGAAACTATTGCTAAGTAAAAATAAGCTTTCTGTTCCCCATGGGAAAACACTGAGTTTATCTAAAAATCACTTCTTGTTATCCAGATAATATCCTGGTTAAATGGGAGCTTATACAATGAAGACTTGGCTGTATCTGGGAAGTGGGGGACTCTGAAAGTTAAAACACATTCTTATGAGCAAACAGCCAGATTTTATTAGAGTACACAGAAGCCTCTCCTTTTAAATAAAAGTAAAAATTATCCCATTTGGGGACTAGAATTTTTGCCCTGGTTCCAAGTAATTGGTGCACAGTAGCAGGCTCGGGATTCCAGTAATACTCCAGACTTCACATATATGAGACCATGTCCCTATCTCTGGGACAAACCAGATCTGTCACCATCCATCTTAAGGCACAGAAACTCCAAAATCATGGAATTTTTCACTCTCTGTGAGAAAATGTACTGCTATTCCTTTGTTTTGTCCATTGGATCCACATTCATAGCAGAGGGTAGGGGTATCATTTGGTTTGAAATAACCAATTCCTGAGAGTACTGATGTGCTTAGTAAACAGAATTCGTTACATTGTAGAGGTGAGTGGGTAGAGGAGGAGGAAGAAACACATTTTGCATTATTCCTCATCACTTCTCCTTACATGATCCTGCTTATCAGTAATAAACAACTGAGGATGATTTTACCTGCAAGGGACTGATCCTAGAGCAGAGATGAAATACCTCCTCCTTGCACCTCCTTCCCCTGTTCTTGCATTTGTTACACAAGAATGTGGAATGCTCAGGATCTGCTTCTAATAATTTTGTCCTTTCCCCAACTACCGTGGCAAAATAATAAAAGTAGCTAAACATACAGTGCTTTCCATCTGCCAGGCTCTGTCTCAAACCTTCTACCACATCCTAACTCATTTAACTCTCAAAATCAACTGCATAAGTCAGGAACTACTAGTACTTCCACTTCTCAAGTGGGAAAAGTGAGGCACGGAGAAGGTAAGCCAACCAAGGTCATGCAGCCATATATGGCAGCACTAGAACATACACCTCAGCAGTCTGGTGCCGTACGCTGGGCTGCTAACCACTGCATCACAGTGTCACTCAGAAAAGTGGGAAGGCATTTAAGAGATGTATCATGATTCCAGAGGCAATAAGGGAAAGAAATGAGCCTTTCACCAGATGGATATAATCCAGATGCCATCTATGTCACATGCTGCTGAAGGTCTGCTAAGGTCAGCTCTGATCTCTCCATCCCCCATCTTCAAGAAGGTTGACCAGGATTTCTACTAATTTAGACCCTAAAAATGTCCCCTGTTGCCTCCTGCTCTGATATCCAGAATTTTCTGAACTCAGGGTTTCCATTATCTTGCAGCAATTCCTTTATTTGGATCCCATATTTACCCAAATGTCAGACACGATGCCTCCACCTTGATTCTCCCTGCCACCCCTAATATTACCACTTGCAGTGTGTTTAACAGTTTTACTGGAATTTGGAAGTAACTTGAAGTTTATTCATATAAAAACCTGTGGTGAGAAAATGCTGGGTGGAAGGTTCTTGCCAGGTGGATATCTCAAATATAAATGAAATATAACCACCTTCCAGGATCCCATTGCTTAGTTAATAGACTCTAGGAGGAAGCTCAGCATTTCTTGTCAAAAGCTTTTCTCACAAAAGAGACTGCCTGGTAACTTACTTTTACTAACTGTAAATAAGTAAACTAACAGCATTCCTCTCCTGGGAAATTTGCATTTTTAGAAGGAGATAATATGGAAGCCAGAGGAGTCCCTCTGTGTAAGTGGTAGAACTTTAATCATCCCCAAGTAGGTGGAAAGATGAGTTGTATTCTCTTAGCAAGGAAGATTGAGGTCACATATGAGCATCTGACACACAGGTACACATAGAGGATACGCAGAGAGGGTGAGTGACAAATGCATTCCCTAACAGCTCTTCAGTATTTCTTAGGAGAGCAAGACCCCTGGGCAACAGGTGGAGAGAGGCAAGGAGGCCTTCTGAGCTCTGTAATACCACTTGTTTGAGCAGCTTCTTTACCTAGAAGTTAGATTTGGGATATCTCAAGGGGTGACTTATTGAGGGGAACCCTCTGCACCCTCAAATACAGGTTGCTGCATCTCTTCCAAGAAAAGGTGTAGAAATTCTGAAGCTGCCACTGCCCTGAGCATGCTAAGTCTATACCTGTCCAGAAAATCATGGCGACATTATTGTTAAGCCCTCATCCTTCCTTCAAAAGCCTGACAGCTGAGCATCATTTCATATCTCCCGTCACTCTTCAAATCATTTCAGTGAACACCTACTGCTTTTGTCTACTCAGCACATAGACACTCCCTTTCCCATGGGAAACCCATCCTATGTGGTTTTGGTAGGGCTGAATCCTTACAACCACTCCAACCATAGAACTGGGACTGTGATCCTAGCTTGGATAATTAAAACATCTTATTTCTCTGACCTTACGGATTAGTTCAGAAGTGGGCATGTGACTAAAGCCAACCCAACTTCTTCCTCAGACTTATCCATCAGAGCTGTGGGGAAACACTGTTTCCCTCTACAAGAAAACTTGACTGGAATTTCTTGAGTCCAGGAAAATGGAAAGCCCTATTTTCTACCACATGGAAAACACTCATCTTCAGACTAAAGTCAAGTAGAAATATGCAGAGCAAATAACAGGAAAGAGATGGTCCTATCCTCAGTCTCTTACAACTGACTTCCCAGGGCCTAAGTCAATAAATTCCATTTTTCCCAGTCTGAACTGGATGTATATAATTTGCTACCAAAAAATCTATTATGAATACAAAGATTTCCAAATATCTACAGTGCTTCATGTGAAACCCATGGTGTTGGTTGGAGGACCAAAGAAGCCATGATGAGTTGACTCCCTCTGCTATGAATGAGAGACCTGAGCTTGTAAATATGCAACTGGTGTTTCATATTAATTCTCTTTATCAATCTTCTCAAAGTTATCAAATATTAAAGGGAAAGATAATACGCACAGATATACACACACTTTTTTAAAAATATCTTTTATTGCAAGTTTGAGCCCAGTCTGGGTAACCTAGTGACTTAGTGAGGCCCTGTCTCAATAAATAAACACATAAAATTTTAAGCGGTCTGGGGATGTAGATCAGTGCAAAGACTCTGTGTTCAACCCCCAGTACAAACCAAACCAAACCAAAACTAAACAACAAGAGTTCTTAAGATTACATCAAAGGAGACAAAAAGGACCTAAAATAAAAGTAAACAGGTCTATCTATGATCAAATTCTTATTTAAGGGTTCAGGAAGAGATAGAACCCAATTGTGAAGTCACAGGACAGAAGCCAGGATTCTGAGCAGAAGGTAAGAGGCAAATCTGGGAGTAAGGCTTTGAGCCATTCCCCAAAGCCCAAGGGCTTCTCCATTATTCCCGGTATTGATCATGGCATAGCCCTACACAGTGCCCTCAATCCATATTTTTTATTGAAAAATACAACCTATAGGATAATAGGCACAAGATCACATCTTTTTAGAATAACAAATTAAAAACCTGCACCCATATTTTATACTTCAAAATGCCATAGGTCACCTTACTATTACTAATATTGTTCTTATGACATTAAGTAAGCGACCATGATGAGTTCCTGACTTTATTAATAGGGATCCATAAAAGCTAGCACAACTAGGTCAGAATCCTTTGTGAATGTAGGCAATTAACA